ACCCTGTGCATGACGGGGCGGCACCCCAACTCCCCAATCAGCCCTGCTCTGAGCTCAACCAGGGGCTGCACTTAGGGATTGGGCCTGTCCTCTGCCACGGGGAGACGGCCTAAGCCAGCTGGTCATTATCTCCCGAGAGGTCCCAGACTGCGAGAGGGCACAGGCCGGGCTGAGGGACCCCCCTCTCCCCTCCAAGTGCACAAATTTTTGTGCACAGGGCCTCTAGTCTATAAAATAAAAGCCTAAGTGACCATTAACAATGGAAGGACCAGAATGATTTGTCACTATGATGTGCACTGACCACCAGGAGACAGACACTCAATGCAGGAGCTGTCCCCTGGTGGACAGTGCACTCCTACAGGGGGAGTGCTGCTCAGCCAGAAGCCAGGCTTCCCACTGGTGAACACAGTGGCAGTGGTGGGAGCCTCTCCTGCCTCTTGCAGCGCTAAGGAGTGGTGAGCCAAGCAGTAAGAAGCAAGCAGGCGGGCGGTTAGGAGAGAATGGTCCCAGGTTGCGAGAGGGCACAGGCCCGGCTGAGGGACCTCTTGTCCTCACAAATTTTGTGCATCGGGCCTCTAGTCTGTTATAATTCCATAGACATAGCTTCTATGTTGCTGCAAAAAACATACTCCAGTTAAGAGTCACTGCATTAGAGAAGCACAAAGCTATTTCTTTCCACCAGGTATTTACAGTTTTCACTCAATCTAGGTATAAATTATCCATTAGAGGTCATTTTTACCATATGCAATCTTTTTTTTAATTTTTAATACATTTATTATTTTGAAGCACCAGTTTTCCACTGATGAAAACGACAAAGACATAATATAAAAACAGGTAATGAGTCATAGTGAAATAGAATATATTAAAATCAATAAATTTTACCAATGGAAAATACCAATGTGACAAAGTGTAACGCGTTCATTGCCGAGACATAGAAGCAATTCAAATATGTTAAGAAAAATTAATAAAAATATAGATACTTTATGAGTTGACTATTCCTGGTGTCCAATGATGCCGCGAGAAGGGGGTCCATTCTCCGGGTCCAGGGAATGCGATAGGAAAAGCACAGGAACCCACGAGTCACAGATGTGCACACTCAAAAAGCTCGCCCAGTCCTACTGGTGCCAGAGCACGCCGCCAGGAGGAGCGTGGAGGCTGGGCTGGGTCCTCAGGAAGGTTCTGGGCAGCAGCCCTCCAGTGGATGCCACACCAGCAGCAGCTATTGTGCTCTCAGCACTGAGAACCAGCAGCGAGGTCACGTGTGCCCTAATGGGCTCAGTCTGGACCTTGGAGAGAACAGCCGGACGCCATGCGTATGCGCGGGGGCCACGAAGGGGCCTGAGCCCTGGCCACCTCCCCAAGGTGAATGCTTAGAGGTGCGCCGACTCTGCACAAGAGCAATTGGCGGCCGAGAAGCACTGACCGGCGCTTCTCGCACCCGTGTCGGCACACACCCGGGTCCCCTCTGGTCACGCGGCATCTGCAGGACTTGGCGGGGACAGAATCCCTTAGAGATCCAGGAGCTTGTAAGGATCCTCCCCATTCTCAGCCCAAGGCTGGCAGGAGGAAAAGTGCCCCTCCCAGGAGCCTTTGGGTGAGCGCAGCTCTGGGGTCACAACAAAGTTGGTAGAGCAACTTAAGTCGTAGGGGCCCTGAGGCCAGACTCTGGCCTGGGCTGGAGCTGGAGCTAGAGCTGGAGCAAGTGCAGCGGGGACCGCGCGTGGATGGACTCCGTGCGCAGGGCCCCAAGCAGGCCTGGCTGTAGCTGAAGGCGCCGTGCTCTGCTTCAGGGAAGACTTCAAAGGGGTTGTGCGCAGGGAAGCTGCAGAAAGTTGGGTCCCGGTGGTGCAGGGGGGCTGCGGGGAGCACAGGGCCGGCTGGGAACACTGGTTCCTCAGGGAACACAGGTGTGGCAGGCAGCACAGGGCTGGCAGGGAGCACAGGGTCCCTCTGGAATACAGGGCCTGCAGGTGCAGGCTGAGGGGCCCGGACTCCCGGTTCTTGGGGCGCAGCGTGGGCTGCCTGCCCTTGCTGCCCGCGCAGTCGCTGCAGCCTGCAGTCTTTGGCCCTGCGGTTCTTGAGCCACACCTGCACTTGGTGCTCCTGCACGTTCACCTGCTTCGCCAGGGTCTCGCGTTCCTCGTAGGTCCCATAGCGTTTCTTCTTGTAGAATTCCTCCAGCTGCAGCCGCTGTTCTATGCTGTACACTGTGTGCTTCTGCCGCTTCTTCCTCCGATGGGCTGGGGAAGGTGGAGAGCCCGGGGGCAACTCAGGTTCCTGCATCCTGGATGCTGCTGGGTCCTCCGCCCTTGAAGTTCTCCGTACCATATGCAATCTTGCCTAGTAATACATTCCATCATTTCTCCTTAGAAACACAGCCAGAGCTAGAAAATCAACCCAAGGTCAGTTTTGTCCCTACGTCAGGAATTTTGTTAATCTTTTATCCACAGGATTTAAGAAAGATGTCACATCTAGCTGGTTTCATGAAAGAGGAAACATTTGAGCTGGGCCTTGAAGAATGGCTAAAATTTGCAAAGAGGAATAATAAGGGGGTAGTAAAGAACTGGGAATGTTTGAGGAACAGCAAGTTAAGTCCCATGGCTGGAATAAAGTATTTAGGAGAGTGATGGTGTAAAAGCCAGGACAGCTAATATTGGAGTGCCTTGAATATGAAGCTATAGGGTTAGTTTCATAGGCTGTGAATAGTGTAAAGATTTTTAAGGCATTGTCAAGTCTTTGCATTTTAGAGGATTAAACTCACTGCTCTGTGTAGACTAGATTGGAAAAAGAATGTCCCAGAAGTCAAGAGATTTTTCCAGTGAGACAGGTAAGATGAGGGATTATAAAAAGGCTTTAGATTTGAAATTTAGGGAGTCTTCAGTAGTATAATATGAAGACAAAAACCAAAGAGTACGGGAAATGGAGTGAATAAGTATAGACAAGGAAGGCAAAGTTCATTGGAAACTAAAAAGAGATTGGTAATATGGATGGAATTAAGTTGGAAGGACATTTTTTAAAAATACAATTTGTCCATATATAAAAACTAGATGCCTGGTGCATGAAATTCGTGCAAGAAGGGGGGGGGTGTCCCTCAACCTGGCCTGCACCCTCTTGCAATTCGGAACCCCTCGGGGGATGTCCAACTGCCAGTTCAGACCTGTGGGATTGGGCCTAAACCGGCAGTCAGACATCCCTCTCACAATCTGGGACTGCTGGCTCCTAACCTCTCGCCTGATTGCACCTAACCACCTCTGCCTCGGCCCCCCGCTGCCGTGGCTTCATCCAGAATGACACCCGGAAGGTTGTTCAGCTATCCGTCTAATTGGCATATTATGCTTTTATTATTATAGAGATCACATTCTTTCCACCACAGTAATAGATCCCAAATGTTGGTCTACCAATTGATACTCTGCAATCACTTTGGAAGCTTTTTAAAATCAGATTTCCAGACCCTTCCTCTGGATTAGGGGTCAGCAAACATTTTGTGTAATGGGTAAATAGTAAATATTTTAGACTACATGCCATATGTAGTCTCTGTCACACATTCTTTGCATTATAACCCTTCAAAGACGTAAAAACCATTCTTAGCCTGTCATCCATACAAAAACGGACTAAGCTGGATTTGGACACTGGGCTGTAGTTTGCCAACCCCTGCTCTTGAGAATCTCATTCAGTCCATCTGGATTAGGACCTGGGAGTAGGAATTCTTAAAAAGCTCCCTAGGTCTTCCACTTCTATCCATGTAGAGTAAGGACCAGACTTAAGTGGCAAATGACAAACTAAGTGAAGGGACTTTTTCAGACATTGAGGAGATAGCAAAGATATAGAGCGCCTGAGAGACTAAAATCAGGAGGACATTTGGGAAATGGAGAAGTTGGGAAAAGCTAGATGGTCTAAAGCAGTGGTCGCCAACCTTTCGGACCTCACGGACCACCGTTTGGAGACCTCTGGTCTAAAGGGAATTTCAGCAAGAGAAACCTGAGAAGGGGGATTTCTTAGTGATTCACTTTGTCTCCTCCAGTACACTGACTTGTAAGCCTGATCTAAGAAACATATTTTACCTTCAAAGGCAATAGTAATCCCTTCAGCTACATTTGGAGATCCTGTGTCAACTTATCTAGCATACTCCTTTCTAGTTGGTAATTATGTGTTTCAACTGGATGTTCAATTTGAGACATATTGGGAAGAGCTTGGTTTAAAAGCCTCTTCTGTGCCAAAAGTAATTTTCTTTATGCTTTTCAAGAGAGTAGGGAGAAGGCTAATGAGGACAGATTACATCACTTACCTGAGACAGGCCCTGTATCCTTGTCAAGAGATGTTTGAATTTAAGGTTTGAAGACTGTAATTTAAGAGAAATGGGATAGATCATGGTTTCTTCCTTGGAAGTCTGAGGGTGGGGGGTCGGGGTGGGACGGGGGAAGGGATGAGGGGGGTGTGCCATGGTAATGCCAACTCCTACCTTCACCTACAGAGTAGGGGAGTACTTACTATGTTCCAGGACCCCCCCACCCCCACCCCAGCGTGACCAACTATATTGCCCCTCTAGTCTTAGGGGAAAAGAGTACGGTTGAGTCTTTTAGTACCTGCTCCAGGGTAAACAGTTTGAGGAGCACCCAATAATGCTGGGCCTCTTCTTTCCAATGGCCCGGACCCTTCCAGAGATACCTTTGTCCTTTACACTCTGAGCCCAGATGCTGTGAGAGGCATGGTTACCCCACGTATGAAGCAATTCCAGGAAGGATCATCATAATGCTCTCCCCAGTTATTAAGCAAATCCCAACAAGAGGTTACCGTTGTGAGAGAGGGGGATTGCTTCACTCCCTTCAGGAGTGTTATGAAAGGATTTGAAGGCACAGGTACTAAAAGACTGTTGAGGACAAATGTTCATTAGCATGAAGTTGGTTTTTGTTAATCCTCACCGAGAATACACACATACACACACACACACACACACACACGTTGATTTCTAAAGAGTGGGAGGGAGGGAGGTGGGGAGAGAGAAACATTGATTGGCTGCCTTCCACACAAGCCCTGACCAGTCTGGGAATCGAACCTGCAACCCTTCAACCCTTAGGCTGACATTCCAACCACTGAGTAATCCTCACCGAGGATACACACATACACACACACACACACAGACACACACACACACACACGTTGATTTCTAAAGAGTGGGAGGGAGGGAGGTAGGGAGAGAGAAACATTGATTGGCTGCCTTCCACACAAGCCCTGACCAGTCTGGGAATCGAACCTGCAACCCTTTGTTGTGCAGGCTGACATTCCAACCACTGAGCAACACTGGCCAGGGCTAGCATGAGGTTTGATGCAGCTATAAGGGGTTTAAGGTGGAAAGCCTTGATACCCCCTTTGATGGCTTCTCTGAGCCACAGACTCTCAGTTATCTATTAAAATAGCTGGATTGAGAAATCACATCTTTCCTGCATGTAAAAGGCTAATGATCACACTTAAAACAACAGAGTATTTGAGGCCTGTGTGACCTGTTTGTGAAGTGACCACCTCTGAAATATTGACCTGGCTTATATACTGGGATTATAGTTTTTATAAAAGATTCAATATCACCACTTTAACACACCACCCAATGGTGAGTCAGTGTTGGGGCTCAACATGGAACATGCTGTCCTGAGAGCTTGTGGATAGTGGGATCGTTGGGTCCCCCACATGGACAGCCTCCTCACCCCACCTGGGCTCTGATGCCCTCCACCCGCCACCCTCTGCATAGATATCTCCTCCTACTTGGTCCTAACTCCCCACTCCAGGCCACTCCTCATGGGGGCGCCCTTCCAATCCTGCTCATCCACAGAGATGATTCCACATGGTAAACATTCATATGATTGTCTACCCTAGTAGCAGTTGTTCTGTTTGCATCTCATT